TGTCTCTTAGAGCTGCTATTCTATTCCTTATTCAATGTATGCCATAGACGGGACCTTGGAGGGAAATACAAAGATATTGAGTTGTGATAAAATAAAGGCTTGGATTTCCTTAAAGAGCTGACCAAGGAAGCTAAGCCCCAAGGCTCATGCATACCTTCCTGGAATGCCTATCCATGAAAAAGACTGCATATATGCATATAGATGTGCATGTGTATACATACATGTATATACACCCACATACTCACATAAACATATATAGACGGATGTTTGCCATTCCCAACCCCTTGTCTCTCTCCAGAATGGAGGCTGGACAAGCTAAATAGTTGTTTTCCCAGCATCCCTTGCAGGTAAATCTGGTCATGTGAGCAGATTTTGGTTAAAGAGATAGAAAGGCAAGCCCACTGAAGGCCTTCCCAAAACATGTTTCCTTCATTGAAAGGAGTGAGCCATGCCGGGAAAAGGCTCTCTACTGCCCCCTCTTCCCTCCCCTTCTTCATGCTGTGCATGAGGACATGGCAGTCGTGGGTGACACAGATGAAGACAGGGGAGATGTCTCTGAGAGAGGAAAAGAGCTTGGGACCTGAATGACATCACTGAGCACCTAGCCTGCCTCATTTCTGGAACTCTTAGGTACACATGGTTTATGCCCTTGCTGCTCAGAGTGTGGCCTGTGGACCAGCAGATTAGGCATCACCTGAGAGTCTGATCAGAAATGCAGAGTCTCAGGCCTGCCCCACCCCAGACCTACTGAAGCAGAATCTGCATTTTAAAAAGATGCCCAGGTTTGGGGTGTTTTGGGTGCACATGAAAATTTCAGGAAAGTTGCTTTCTGGCTCCATTAATTCGGGTCTGTTACATGCAGCTGAAAGCGTTCCTAACAGATACCACGTATGTACCAGGCACGTGTGAACATGTACAGGTATGTCTGTGTGTGTGTCTGTATGTCTGTATATGTGAATGTACACACATCCACACACATATGGATGCATATATACATATATACTATATATGTGTCTATAGTCTCTGTATTTGTGTATATATGTATATAGGACTAGAAAAATCCTGGAAGTACTCAGCTAGGATGTGGGAGTGGTGGGGTTTGTTAGGGAGTTTTGGCCTTTCTCCTTCCTGTTTCTCTTTTTTTGGCTGATTGGAATGAATAAAGTATACAGGTGACGTAATGGCTACCTCTAGGGAAAAAATTATAAATGAAAAGAAATCATGCCCACGCATGTGTGCAGGCGCGCGTGCGCACACACACACACACACACACACACACACACACACACACTATCCCTCCATATGCCCGAAACCAAAGGAAATGATTCATATTGAAATGATTCATATTGCAAAAAATATAAGACAAAGTACTAGAGACAGAAAAAGTAATACCTTAATTTTTACCTTAATTACTTCTATAGTGTTGGAAAAAATGTTTGTTTTTAAACCCATGAGTAAGTAACTAACAGAAGGTGAGAAGAGACTCACCCGCTCTCCTCCCTGTCCAGCAGGGCGTGGTAGGACGCCACGTCCCGCTGCAGCTGGCACTTGTGTGCCAGCAGGTGCTCGCGGGTCTGCAGCTGCTGCTCTGCCTCCGCGCGCATCTCCCGGAGCTCCGCCTCCAGCCTGTTGACCACGGCGCCCAGGTTCTGCAGCTCGATGTCATGCCAGTGCCTGGCGTCATGCAAGGTGTTCTCCAGGCCTCGTTTCTGCAAAAGAGAGAACATGGTCTGGACCCCAGGCCACGGGTGGAGAAGAGGGAGGTGGGCAGAGCAGCGGGAGGGGCTGGCATCGGCCTGGTCTGTCCATTTCTCCAAGCACCATGACCTTGACGGGCTGACGTGGCTCAGTGGGCAAATCACAAATCCTTCTGTGAAGGCCGGGGTCTTGTTTATTCTAATGCCCCGATCCTTCTGATGGTGAGGGTGGGGGTGGGGGAGGGACAGGAACAGGAAGAGAGAGAGGAGACAGAATGATGAGAGAGAATGAGAAAGAGATGAGTGAGAGAGAGAATGAGAGAGGGAAAATGAGCGCGACAGAAATTCACACATTCATGCGCGCACGTACACACACACACACACTCACACACACACACACACACACACACACACACGAGAAGCTAGTT